GATGGTTAGAATGAAAGTCCTCCAGGGCGTCTGGGTGGCTAAGTGGGTTCAGCGTCTGACTCTTGATTTCGGGTCACGATCTCACGGTTTGGGGGTTCCAGCCCCAAGTCCGGCTCGGCACTGTCAGTGCGAAGCCTGCTTGGGATTCTCTCTCTGCCCCTCCCCTGCTCTCTCTCTCTAAGTAAATAAATAAACTTAAATATATTATATATGAATAAAGAATATGAAAATTCTTTAAAAAAAAAAAAAAGAATGAAAGTACTCCACAACCAGCCAGTAGATGACGTTTGAGGAGGTGGCATAGTGCTACAGGGTCAGGGGGAGGACATCTGCCCCTGTTAGCATGACAGGACTTGAGGGTAACCTGGAAGCACGGAGCTCGGCAGGCAGAAGGACATGACATGGGCGATGAGTGCCTGGACCGGCACCAGCCTGCCTGGCTTTGCTGCTTGCTGGCTCTGAGACCTCAGAGGCTCCTTGAGCTTCAGTTTCCTGGTCCCTAAGGGGGGTGATCACAGTGCCAATCTCAGAATGTGCCAGGAGGACCACATGAACCAACCCCGCACTGTTCAAGAAGGCAACCACTAACCACCTGTGGTAGTTTGCTAGGATCGCCCTAATAAAGCACCCCAAACTGAGTGGCTTATGCAACAAAATTTATTCTCTCACAGTTCTGGAGGCTGCAAGTCCAAGATTAAAATGTCAGCAGGCTTCATTCCGAGGGCTGAGGGAGAATCTGTTCCCTGCATCTCCCCTGGCTTCTGATGGTTTCCCCACAATCTTTGGCATTTCTTGGCTTGTGGAAGCATCACCCCAATCTCTGTCTTCACCCTCACACGGTATTCTCCCCGTGGGTATGTCAGTATCCAAATTCCCCCTCTTGTTAAGGACACCAGTCACAGTGAAATAGGGGCCCATCCTTCTCCAGTATGACCTCATCTAAACTAATTACATATGCAATGACCCTGTTTCCAGGTAAGGCCACATTCTGAGATATTGAGGATTAGGGCTTCGGCATATGAATTTGGGAGGGGACACAATTCAATCTAAAACACCACATGTGGCTCATTGAGCGTTTGAAATGTGGCTGGTCAGAGTTGAAATGAAATACTACATACTAAGCTGAAATACTAAATACACACTGTACTTCAGAGGCTTTGTACAAAAAAAATGCAAGATATCTCACTATTAATTTTTTAATGAGATAATTATCTTCTTTATGGATCGTGTTTACAGGTGACAAAATGATAATATTTTGGCTACCCTGTGTTAAATAAAGCATTATTAAAATGAGATTTTTTTTAACATGGCTGCTAGAGAATTTGAAGTTACCTTTGTGAGGGTGTCTGGGTGGCTCAGTCGGTTAAGCGTCCCACTCTTGATTTTGGCTCAGGTCACCATCTCATGATTGTGAGATTGAGCCCCGAGAAGGACTCTGCACTGGGTGTGGACACTGCTTAAGATTTTCTCACTCTCTCTGTCTCTCCCCCCACCCTTCTCTCCCTCAAATAAATTAAAAAAAAAAATTAAAGTTACCCATGTGGCTTTCATTATTTATCTACTGGACAGTACTGAACTAATATTTACAAAGCCCTTGGAACAGGCCTGGCCCAAGGGAAATGCCTATAAGTGCTGTTAAGTAAAGGCTTCTCTTTGAAGGCGACTTGTTACTTGTGGCATTTTAAAAATACGACTTTCCCCACTTCTCGGAGACTGGGAAAAGTTGGGAACATATTCCTTGCCTGGGCTTCCTTTTATTGAATGGATTTTGTTGTCTGTTCTGGAAGCATATGGCATATATAACGTGGTCTCATCTTTGCCAAATTGTTCCATGGTATTTTTTTTTTCTGTGTCATTATAAACTCTTCATCAACCACATTAAGCACTGTGGTTTCTGGAAAAATTGTTTCCAATTTTCCTATTAACAATGCACACATAACTTTAAGTTGAAAATCCTTTCTGTTGGGCACCTGGGTGGCTCAGTCATTTAAGCGTCTGACTTCAGCTCTGGTCATGATCTCACAGTTTGTGGGTTCGAGCCCCATGTCGGGCTCTGGGCAGACAGCCCAGAGCCTGGAGCCAGCTTCAGATTCTGTCTCCCTCTCTCTCTGCCCCTCCCCCACTCTCTGTCTCTTTGTCTCTCAAAAATAAACAAACATTAAAAAAACTTAAAAAAAAAAAAGAAAATCCTTTCTGTTAGTTAGGATTGTTATTGGACAAAGTGGTAAACTATTGAAGGATCCAATGCATATTGTCAGGTCATTTTCTAGAAAAGCTGAATTAATTACCAGTCCTGCCAGCAATGTATACATATCTCCATTTCACCAGCTTCTTCCTTTATTTTTCTTTTTAATTTAATGTTTATTTATTTTTTAGAGAGAGAGAGAGAGAGAGTGTGTGAGCGGGGAATGGGCAGAGAGAGAAGGAGACACAAAATCCGAAGCAGGCTCCAGGCTCCAAGTTGTCAGCACAGAACCTGGCCAGGGCTTGAACCCACGAACCGTGAGATCATGACCTGAGCTGAAGTCCAGAACTTAACCGACTGAGCCACCCACGTGCCCCCAGCTTCTTCCTTTATTATCAGATTATTTAAAAAAAAGATGGGTGTGTGTGTGTGTGTGTGTGTGTGTGTGTGTGTGTCATTTGGTTTGTTCTGAGGCTGATTTAGCCAGGGGAAAAAAAGTATCTCATTGCTTGTATACCCATTTCTTTGATGACCTGGAATTTGAGCATTTATCCATTTGATTATTTCCCCTGTGCATTTCCTCTTCTGACAGTGTGTTGAGTCCTTTGTCCATTTCTTAGTGCCTTCCTATTTTTCTTATTAATTTACATGGATTCTTTATAAAAATATCAATTTTTGTATATTGTTTTTACAAATTCACATTAGCAAATGCTGACCTAGTTGTGTGTCTTGTTTAACAGATTTTTGCATTTGTATGTAGTCAAATCGACTGTCCCCTTTGTGATTTCTGTCATTGCTTTTAAATTAAAAAAAATAATGTTTATTTATTACTTTGAGAGAGAGAGAAAGACAGCATGAGCAGGGGAGGGGCAGAGAGAGAGACACACACACATAATCCAAAGCAGGCTCCAGGCTCTGGGCTGTCAGCACAGAAGCTGAAGCAGGGCTCAAACCCACAAACTGTGAGATCATGACCTGAGCCAAAGCCAGCCACTTAATCAACTGAGCCACCCTGGCACCCCTCTCATTGCTTTTATTTTTTTTAAAATTTTTTTTTTCTTAAGTTTATTTATTTTTGAGACAGAGAGAGACAGAGCATGAACAGGGGAGAGAGAGAGGGAGACACAGAATCGGAAGCAGGCTCCAGGCTCTGAGCCATCAGCCCAGAGCCTGACGCGGGGCTCGAACTCATGGACCGCAAGATCGTGACCTGAGCTGAAGTCGGACGCTTAACCGACTGAGCCACCCAGGCGCCCCTGTCATTGCTTTTAAACAAAGACCATGCCCTTCCAGAGATGGGCTGTCAGTTTCACTTTCTTTTAGCTTTTTACAATTTTGTTTTTTTCTATTTGGGCGGAGAGGGAAGGGCAGAGAGAGAGAGAGAGAGAGAGAGAGAGAGAGAGAGAGAATCCCAAGCAGGCTCCATGCTCAGCACAGAGCCCACAATGGGGCTCAATCCCACCACCCTGAGATCATGACTTAAGCCAAAATCATGAGTCAGACGCTCAACTGATTAAGCCACCCAGGCTACAATTTTTTTTTTTAATTAAGATTTTAAATCCCTCTAGGGCAGTGCTGTCCAAATGAAATAGAATGCAAGTCACAAATGTGAGCCACACATGCAATTGAAAATTTTCTGGTAGCCACATTTTTTTAAAACCTAAAAAGAAAAGAGCACAGAGGATTTTTAGTGAAAATAGTAAAAGTATTCCGTATGGTACCACAATGGTAAATATATGTCACTACATATTTGTCCAAACCCACAGAATGTACAGCACCAGAAGTAAGCCCTAATGTAAACTGTGGACTTTGGGTGATAATGATGTGTCAGTATAGGCTTATCAGTTGTAACAAATGTCCCACCCTGGTAGAGACTGTCCATAGTGGCAGAGGCTGTGCGTGTGGTGGGGAGAACAGAATATATGAGACGTCTCTATACTTTCCACTCAATTTTGCTGTAAATCTAAAACTGCCCTAAAAAATAAAACTTATTCATTTAAAAAAATTCTAAATTATAAAAAATATTTTAAAGAAACAGATGAAATCAATTTTAATAATATATCTTATTTATCCCAATATTTCAAAAAAATTATTCCAATATTATAATCAATGTAAGAAATTAATTAATGAAATCTTTCATTCTGGGGGTGTTAAGTCTTCAAAATTTAACGTGTATTTTACACTTACGGCACATCTCTATTCCACGAGAGTGACGAGCCAAGGTCCCAATACTTAACAGCCCCATGTGGCTCATGGCAACCAGATTGGTCAGTACAGGTCTAGAACTTGGTTCAGCCTCGAGGGAGGGCAGAGGGAGAAAGGTTCTGGTGGCTTGATTTACCTCCTCCTTCAGTTTCCACCTGCTCCTCTCTTGAAAATTCCTGCCCAGCCAAGCTGTTTTCTCACCTTTTCCATGACCTTTGCCTGGTTCCTGGATGCCATCCTGGCCACCTGTGTCAGCCGCCTCCCACCCTTGGCCTCCTGACTCCTCCATCACCCCACCCGGGGCTTCCAGCCATCCACTGCCACCTCCCATTCGCCAGCCTTCAGGCTGTAGATCTTACCCAGGGGCTCACCAGCGTGGGGCCGTCCCAGAATTTCCACCTCTGCAGCTCCCTGCTCTGGTGAACGCATCAATAATAATAATGATGATACAATATTCCTGCACACTGACTGGTGGTGCAATGCCAGGCTAACCCCTGGCGGATCATCGTATCTAATCCTCCTGACCATCTTGAAGGCTGGAACCATTTGGCACATAAAGGCTTCTATCAGCCAGTGAACACAGACAGGGCCCACACAGCCTGTGTTCAAGGCCAGGGGAGGGAGGATGGCGTCCCTCAGGGCAGAAGGTCCTGGGGATCACCTAGAGCGTTGAGCCAGGTTTATAGAAGGTCCCTCCATATTGCGGGGGGGGGGGGGGGCCGCCGGATCTAGGTGTGTTCCCCAGAACTTGCCCACATGTTCTTTATGCCTGCCCCCCTTCCCCTACCACGCAGGAACCTGTGGAAGCCTTGGGATGAGGACACCTGGAGGTGGTGACACCTACAGCCCTCCCCTGGAGTCTGCGCTCCGGGAACCCTCTGGAGCCGGTCACCTCCCAGCCCCGGGTAGGGTGAGTCCTGGCCACCGCCGCCAAACAAGCCGAGGGGAGGGGAGAACTGAGCGGGGCGGGGCAGGGCTGGTCTTCTCCCGTCCGGGCGGGACCAACATCTGATCGGCGGGGCAAAACCAGGCGGCAGCTAGGCCAGGCTGCGGGCCGAAGACTCCAGACACACCAGCGCCCCGCGACCCCCTGCACCCACGGGCACCATGAGCGGCCGAGTCGGGGACCTGAGCCCCCAGCAGCAGGAGGCGCTGGCCAGGGTGAGGGGCTTAGAGGGTGGGAAGGCTTCGGGAGGGGGCGAGCTGCCTGATGCTGCCCACCAGGTCTGGAACCCCCATTGTTCCAGAAAAGGGACCCAAGAGAGCGCCCGCCCCCTTCGGGACGCAGTTGCTGAGGCGGCCTTATGCGGGACAGCACACTTGAGCCCTTCCCTGGGCTACCCGCGCGGGGTTATCCGGCTTTGCACTCCTGCCCTCTCCGGACCCCGGGCTTTGGCCCTTGTCCCCTGGTTGTGGGGGTAGGGTGGTGCTGCCATTCCTCTGGGCAGTCTGGGACAGACAGACTAGCAGATCTCCTGCCGGAATCGCAACATTTGTTTGGTTTCTTTTTGTGCCTTTCTGGCTCCCCGGGGGTCCAAGGCTTCTTCCTATTGTCAATGTTTTCATTAAACAGGAATGGGCCAGCTTTGGTGACAGTCCTGCAGGCTGCAGCTGAGAGTGTCACCCCATGGGGAAAGAGGAGCATATTCAGGTCTTAGGTGCCACAGCATTAATTTGGTTTGCAGATGGCAAGGCCTAGAAACTGTGACTTCGGGTTAGGGGAGTGAGGGTTACAGGCCTGGTTCACACTTTGGACAGCTTCAGACTTGTGGAGAATAGTTTCTTTTGTGACTCCCACCGTGGGAAGGGTCCGCCAGGGAAGAATGAGGATCCCTGATGAAGGAGGGGAATCCTGGGTGAATTCCTAACAAAGTAAAGAAGGGTCCCAGGTGAAGAGTGGGGTCCCTGAGGGAATTGCCAGGTCAAGGAGGAGGTGCCAGGAGCTGAGGGTCCTTAGCTGAAGGAGGTGTCCCCAGGTGAAGGAGGAGGGGGAGTCCCCTGGTTAGCCCTCTCCCTCCCCACTGGCAATGACCTCAAGGAAGCCCCAGCCACTAGGCTCATGGGAAGGGCTGGACACCTGGACTTGGGGGTGAATTATGATGGTGATGCTTGTGGGTCAAAGGGCTTTAAGTAATGTAAAACGAGTTTATTCTTATTTTTTCCATTACTTAAAAAAAATGAATGGTAGTTGTTTTACAATTTAGGGAAAAGGGAAAAGTAGGATAAAGAAGAAGTCACCCATGGTCCCAGAGGTCTAGACAACCATACCTAGGAGCGTTTCCTTCCAGCTTTTTCTGAAGCCTGGTTTTTACCACCTTTGGTCGCACTGCCAGAGGCTACTTTCTCCCTATGGCATCTTTGTTAAGATAGTGTTTTCTTCAAGTTACTCGAAACCCTCTCCAGCACCTGCTTAGTGGCTTTCTCTCTTACTTGATGTGCTTTCCAAAGATGGAGTGGCGTTGGGATTGGAAACTGTGGAGTCCTCCTAGCCTTATAGCTCCCCCACTCTGTCCCTGGGGAAGACCCTCCACCGCCAGCCTCAGTGTCCTCATCCACAAAGCAGGGATGTGACATTTGCTCCTCCTGCCCTAGGGCACATCCTGAGGTTCAAAGGGGGGACTCTGGTAATCTGGAAGGGCGGAGGGGTGCAGAGTTACTGTTTCTCGGTTATTGTTACTGCCTTTGCTCCCACTAAAAAACCTCCTCGAAGCCCAGAGGTTGCAGTTGATCAATGTGCAAGAACCTCCATTCCAGGAGCCTGGAGGTGGACTGGGGGTGATGATAGCACGTGCTGTCATTCATGTGACTTGTTAACACTGGAGATGTTTAATCCTATTATTCGCTTTTAATTATGTGAGCAATACATGAATACATTCTTATTTGAAACATCATCCATGAAGCTAAAGGAGGTTTGGTGGATGGCTGTCCAGCTAGCTTCCTGTGGCGTTGCTAGCATTGGCTTCTAATCCCAAATTCCCATGCACGGGTCCCCCTGCAAACCCGCTCCTCCAGGACTTGCCTTCAGCTCCCTTAGTCCCCATGGAAGTGAGGTCTCTTCTCCGTCCCAGACCTGAGCCTCAGTCCCGTGCCCAAACTTTCAGTGGCTTCCCCAAACTTTGTCGGTAGGAAGAAGCTCTGGCAGCAGGTCAGCCCCCCTCTTTCTCCAGCCTCCATGGCGCCTGATGAGGCATCCCTGGCTTCTATTTCAGTTCCTCCCTGCTGACCTTTGCCTGGGGTTGTTTCCACAAAGACTCCACTGTCCAGAGCTCCGGGCAGCCCAAGTTTGCTGAGTGCCCACATTTTTTTGGCACCTGTTGCAAGCCAGGACTGACACTAAGTGCTTTACCTGTGCACACTCCTTTGATTAGCACGAGTTTATCTTTATCTCCACTTCACAGATGAGGAAATTGAGGCTCGGAGTGGTTAAGTAACTTGCTTCCAAATTTAGACCCTCGAGATACGGTATATCGAGGGCAAGGTTCCTACGATGTTCTGGTTTGCTCACATCAGCTTCTCCAGGGATCTTTCTGAAAATAGGGATGGCAGGGCTCTACCTCAGACCTCTAGAATGAGGATCTTGGGGAGGTGTAGAACCTTCAAAGTTTGAGAAGGACCCAACTCTTCCTGCCATGGTGGGCTGAGGGGTGCCCCATTCTCAGGTGGCAAAAAGGTCCAGGCAACTGCTGCTAGCTGTGCAGGGTCCCCCACCCTGCAGGGTCCCTGGACAGGACTGACTGGCAGACTGAGTTTGGGAAGGGTCAGGGATGGGGCGGGGAGCACAGGGGTCATGGGAGCCCCTTTGACCATTGTATCTCCCCCTCAGTTCCAGGACAACCTCCAGGACCTGCTGCCCACCCTGCCCAATGCTGACGAATACTTCCTCCTGCGCTGGCTCCGAGGTGAGGCTGGCGGCGTCAGGGGGCAGAGAGGGAGAGAGGGCAGAAGGGTTTCAGGAAAGTGGGTGGGGCTTTGGGAGACAGTGGAGAACGTAGGCCCTGGAATCAGCCTGCTTTGGACTGGAGTCTGAGCTCCCCTCCAAATCAGCATGGCATAAAAAACCCATTGAGCCTCAGTTTCTTCATCTGTAAAGTGGGGATGGGGCTACCTCCCTGAGCATTGTTGTCAGTGTCAAATGCCAGGCACTGGGTGGGCATATGGTCCAGGTGAGGTTAGAGTTCACACCTGGGAAGTTCTCAGGATGACTGGCCTGGCCAGGCCTTTGAGTCTGATAACCTTGAATATACTCTGCATGACTTGCCTTTGGGTCTGTCTCCAGTTCCTTGAAGACAGGCCTGTGTCATCCCCCTGGGGAACCTGGAAACTGAGCAGGTGCCCGGCAAACACTTCAGGAAGTCGATGCAGTTAAAGGTAGAGAAGCAGTTTCTTCTAGGAATTGCCACAGTGGTGTAAACTTAGAATAACAGAAACCTTAGGGAAAAATTCGTTTCAACTCAACACACCCCATGGGATGGATTTTGAACTTGAAATGGGAGAGAAGTCAGAAGCGGGGCTGGAAAGTGCACACACAGTGTGGTGATAATAACCAGCCTTGGACTCAGGCACACATGCTATTGAATCCCAGCTCTGCCCCGTGCTAGCAGTGTGCCTATGGCAATTACCCACTGTGTCTCAGTCTTACTTTTCTCTTCTGGGTAATGGGTGTAAAACTGCTTCCCACCTTCAAGACGCCGTGAGTCAGATATGAGGTCAGGGGCGTGCACAGCGCCTGCACAGAGGAAACCCTCCCTCCCTCCTGTTCTGTTCTGTTTGGTTACTTTTTAAAATTACCATTTTCTACAAACTTTATTTTTTAGGTTGGTTTGGATTTACAGAAATGTTGCGAAGATAGTACAGGAAGCCCCCATATATGCTGCACCCAGTTTCCCCTATCAACATTTTTCATTCCTATTTCATTCATTTTTCATTTGTTACAATTAATGAGCCAATATTTTTTTTAATGTTTTTATTTTATTTTTGAGAAAGAGACAGAGTGTGAGCAGGGGAGGGGCAGAGAGAGAGGGAGACACAGAATCTGAAGCAGGCTCCAGGCTCTGAGCTGTCAGCCCAGAGCCTGACACGGGCTTGAACCCATGGGCTGTGAGATCGTGACCTGAGCTGACATCGGACACTTAACTGACTGAGCCACCCAGGTGCCCCTTAATGAACCAATATTGATACGTGACTATTAACTAAAATCTCTACTTTACTTAGATTTCCTGAGTTTTTCTGTTCCAGGATCCCATCTAGGATGCCACATTAAACTTGTTAGGCGCTCTCGGCTGTGGCAATTTCTATTCTGTTTTTGACAAGTTATGTCCATGTCTTTCTCTTCGGCTAAAGAAGGAGTGAGGACAGTAGATTCCTTTTTTTTTAATTAAAAAAAAAAAACTAATTGAGAATCTCTGGGATGGTAGTTATTGCCTCCCGACCTACAGGGAGGAACCAACACTGTAGGAAATCGCTCAGAAATCACACAATCCCAACATCTCTAGCTAACACAGGAAGGAGCAAAATCATTTCTCTGAAAATTGGTCAGGCTTTGTTCATCCAAGAAGGGTCGGGAGGACAGATGCAAAAGGGACCATCACATGATACTGGGGGTGAGATGGGGGTATGTTGGACCCCAAGCTAGCTTCTCAAAAACCAGGGGAGAAATAGATCCACTTCTTCTCTGGGGGTGGAGTTCCTGGTCACCAAGGGAGTTTCTTACCCTTGATGAGGCTGTCGCTGCCTCAGGGAAAACTTTCATTCTGTAGGTTCAAGACAAGGTTGTCAGCAGTGAGATAGATTATGGTTCTGTGATGTGGCAATCGTCTTGGAGATGTTCTGAGCTGCCTGGATCGTGTGAAGTTTGATATAGCAGGGTTCTTGCTCAGGGCTTCTCCAAGGTGAGCAGGGTGGGGTTAAGGGTTCACACAAGGCCCGGTCTCAACGCCTGACCCCATCCTTACTCCTCTAGCCCTTCTCTGGGCTGTCAGATCCAAGTGGTGCTCAGATGGCTCGTGCCTAGTCCCACCTTGGCCCCCAGACAGTAGATTTCTTGAAGCCCCTTGATACAGCATCAGACCTCTCTCCTCCTTTGGAGTCTTTCTGGGGTTAAAAACCAACTTTTCAGGTAGCTGGTGTGTCCTTGAGAAAGGAGTGAAGTCACAGACCCTGTAGGCTGCTGGGTCACGGGAAAGGAAAACGACTTAAGGAAAAGCACACCTAAGGACACCAGGTGTCCTGATGCCTCCCATTGTCTGTTGTGGCAGACCTGCTGATGTGGCCCTGTCCCCTTCAACTTCACCTCTGTAGCCACTTCCTGCCTCACTAGCTCAAGACCCAGGCAACAGGGAGAGTGATCACTGGGGCTGAACTTGGAACCTTCCCCCTCAGTCCAGACACAGAGAACCCTCTCTCTGAAGTCGCTTCCCTTTGTTTTCTTTATCTCCATTCCATGACCGTGTCCATCTCTCCCACTCAGATGCCAGCCCCATGAGGGCAGGGACTGTGCCTGCCATATACCTCCAGCCTGACACATAGTAGGTGCTACTAAAAAAGTTGTGAGGGTCCATCAACAGCACCCAAACCACTTTCTATAGAACAAGAAAACACCCTGGTTCTCAGTAAAAAAAATCTATAGAAAAAGCTAATAAATATTAAAGGGGCACCTGGGTGGCTCAGTTGGTTAAATGTCCGACTTCGGCTCAGGTCATGATCTCGCAGTTCGTGAGTTCGAGCCCTGCATTGGACTCTGTGCTGACAGCTCAGAGCCTGGAGCCTGCTTCGGATTCTGTGTCTCCCTCTCTCTCTGCCCCTCCCCCACTCATGCTCGCTCGCTCTCTCTCTCTCTCTCTCTCTGAAAAATAAACGTTAAAAAAAGTTTAAAAATAAAAAAGTAAAAAAAAGTAAAAAGCCAATAAATATTAAAGACACGTAAGTGGTACTAAAAAGCTTTCCTCCTTCCAAAACTCAGACCCCAATGGCTTTACAGGTGAATTTTTCCAAAGTTTTAAGACTAGCTAATACCTACTTTTATAAATTGTTTGAGTTGCTTTAAAATATATAAAAAATTGAAAGTTGGGACACATGGGTGGCTCAGTCAGTTAAGCCTCCAACTCTTAATTTTGGCTCAGGTCATGATCTCACAGTTGTGAGATCAAGCCCTGCATGGGGCTCTATGCTGGGTGGTGGAGTCTGCTTAAGATTCTCTCCTTTCTCTCTCTCTCTCTCCTTCTGTTCCTCCCCTGCTCGCATGCACTATCTCTCTCTCTCTCTCTCTCTCTGTCTCAAAAAAAAAAAAAAAAGTGAAAGTTACTTTATGAGGCTTGAGTAAGTTTGATTCCAAAATGAGATCAGGACAATAAAAGACAATTCTAGGCTTGTTTCACTTATTAATGTAGATGTAAGGAAATCTAAGTAAAACATTACATAATAGAATCCGATAGGGTATTAAAATTACACAGCATGGTGAAGGGGAGTTTATCTTAGGTATGCAGGAAGAATTCAACTTTAGAAAATCTATCAGTGTCATTGCACACATTAATAGAATTAAAAATGAGAATGATGTGGCTATCTTAATGCAGGAAAAACATTTGAAAAGGTTCAAATCCTATTTATAATATAAAAACAAAATAAAAGTCTTACCAAACTAGAAATAGAAGGGAATTTCCTTGGCTTGGCTTGGTAATGCTTATGTAGCAAAACTCTTACAATACATGCTATGCTTAAGTAGAAGGTTTAGATTCGTTTTCTTTAAAATCAGGAACAAGGAGGCACACCTGGGTGGCTCAGTCGGTTTAGCATCCAGCTTCAGCTCAGGTCATGATCTCATGGTTTGTGGGTTTAGGCCTCACACTGGGTTCACTACTATCAGCACGAGTCCACTTCGGATCCTCTGTCCATTCTCTCTTTGCCCCTCCCATTCTCGTGCTCTCTCTCTCAAAAATAAATAAAACATTTAAAAATAGATAGATAGATAAATAAAATCAGGAACAAGGAAAGGACGTCAAACAACATTACAGTTTAAATAGAACTAGACCCTTGCCAATGTTATAAGGAAAGAAAAAAAGTAATCAGTGGTGTAAAGACTAGAAGGGAGGAGTTAAATTTCTTTTCTAAATTTAGAAATTTTGTTTTTAAAATAAAGCACCACATTTTCAATTAAAATGAATTTATTTCTTCAAAAGAAGTAGTCACAACAATAGTTTCTATTTACTAAGAAGTTACTGGGAGCCAGGTAATGTGCCAAGCACTTTACATGTTTTATCTCATGTCATCCTTTGAATACCTGAAAAAGATACTATTCCTGTTTAGCAGATTAAAAAACTAAGAGTCAGAGAAGGTAAGTGAGTTGCTCAATGTTGCACAGCAAATAAAAGGACAAAACTAGAATTCAGACCCAAGTCTGTCTGACTCCAAAGTCCATGCTCCTCACTAGCCTTAACACTGAGGAGGTCTGTGCTCCCATGGGGACGTCAAATATTACAGGTTAGATCAGCCTCTGGAATGAACAGTTTAAAAATTCCGGGATACTGAAATCAAGGGCCTCCAACATCTTCTACAGGATTAAAGATCCTTGCTTTTATTTATTTATTTATTTATTTATTTATTTAATGTTTTATTTATTTTTGAGAGAGATGGAGACAGAATGTGAATGGGTTATGGGCAGAGAGAGAGGGAGACACAGAAGCAGAAGCAGGCTCCAGGCTCCGAGCTGTCAGCACAGAGCCCAACGTGGGGCTCGAACTCACGAGCTGTGAGATCATGACCTGAGCTGAAGTCGGACGCTCAACGGACTGAGCCACCCAGGCACCCCAAAGATCCTTGCTTTTAAAAATAATGTCTAGGGGGCTCCTGGGTGGCTCAGTCAGTTGAGCATCCAACTTTGGCTTAAGTCATGATCTCACAGCTCATGAGTTCAAGCCCCGCGTCGGGCTCTGTGCTGACAGCTCGGAGCCTGGAGCCTGCTTCGGATTCTGTGTCTCCCTTCTCTCTGCCCCTAACCCATTCGCATTCTGTTTCTATCTCTCTCAAAAATAAATAAATATTTAAAAAAATTAAAAATAATGTGTAGACCCCCAGTGTATTCTCGGGATGTCATGAAAGGCTCAGGCACCCCCACTATTTCCTCATGAGTTTTCAGGAAACTGTGAGTTCTAGTCCGGCCTCAAGCCTCCGCTTACCTTGGCTCTTCTTGCAGCTCGGAACTTTGACCTGCAGAAATCTGAGGACATGCTCCGGAAGGTGAGGCCCCATACTCATGAGTGTCCTGCCTCCCACACACTGTACCCCAGGAATCATCGACAAAGGGTGGGGACTCTTGTCCTGTCCTGTTCTCATGTGTTTCCTCCCTTCCTCCTTGGATCCTTTTATGCATCAGACCTGGGTCTCCCACAGCCCTCCTCCTGGCATTGCCATTCCCGGTTCTGTGAGTAGAGCCTGGGGATGCTCTTGCAGGGTCTTGGGGCTGTAGGCAGAGGGACTTGGCCTGATGCCCTCAGGTGCCCTCAAGACCTTTGTAGCAGGCAGTCCTCAGGTCCTGCAATTTCTCTGCAGCACATAGAATTCCGGAAGCAACAGGACCTGGACAACATCCTCACATGGCAGCCTCCAGAGGTGAGCCCCATGCAGCACCCCCAAGACAGGCAGATGTCCCTCAGACCTCCTCACATCCAGCCATCTGATGGAGCAGGGACATGGCCTGGTAGACTGGTTTGAGTTAAGATCTCACCCCCGTGCCCAGGTGATCCAGCTGTACGACTCTGGTGGTCTGAGCGGCTATGACCCTGAAGGCTGCCCCGTGTGGTTCGACATCATTGGGACCCTTGACCCCAAGGGTCTTCTCCTGTCGGCCTCCAAGGAAGAGCTGATCCGGAAGCGCATCAAGATCTGTGAGCTGCTTTTGCGGGAGTGTGAGCTGCAGAGTCTAAAGGTAAGTGACTGGGTCTAGGATGGGAAGCATATGGTGGACCCGATCTGTCTAAAGGGTGGCACCAGGACCAGGTAGGAAGGACACCCTGTCTCTGCTTTTCCCCAGGCCTGAGCACTCTGGGCCTTGGGGGAACGTGGCTTCTCCCAAAGTTACCCATCCATGAGCATCTAACATGTGCGTGGCACTCTCTGCTGGCAGGTGCCAAGGAACACCAAAGCCCTTTCCCCTCTGACCTTGGGTGAGAGGTTGACCTTGGGTGCAGTGAATGCTCTAGCTCTCTTCCCTGGGAACTCTAGAACAGTGGATGGTCAGCTTTGCCTATGGAAAAGATGTTCCCAGTTGTAAACTGCATAACTATAACACCTGACGGGGGAGACATTGCTTTGGGTATCCCCAAGAACAGTGACCCTTGAAACTTGGTGCATCCTTTGTGGATCCCTAGAAGCTAATATGGAATTACTACAGAAAAAAATATTGAGTTCTGTGGGGCATTGGGATTCCAAGCCAAGAAGGACCCACACCCACCTGTGCAGATCTTCTCTTTGCCCTGGCTCTGTGTTTCCCGGTTCATACCCTTCAGAATGAATCCAATGCCAAGCATGATCTGTTGGCCTTGAGTCTAAGTGTCTACATGAGCCTAAGAAGAACACTGGCAGGGAGCTGTGATGTCACTGTGGGATGAGTTGCCTAATGACGAGGACCGGGCGTGCATCCCCAGTGTCTGTCATGGTGTCAGACACAAAGTAGGCCCTCTGCACAAAGATGTGTGGCAAGCCTAAGAAAATTGCAAAGCACCCTATTCAGTGCCTAGTTTGAACAGATGTGTGTCTTTCGAACAACGTGGCTGACCTTATGGGGTCACAACAGTATCTTCTACTTCGTGGGCGTTTCCAGTTGGAGCTGATAATTGTGGTGATGATGATACTAGTAATAACATCTGCTGATATTTACCAGGGACCAGCGTGTGTCAGGCACGGGGCTCTTTGTGAGTTATCTCACTGAATCTTCACAGAAATTCCGTCAGAACCTGGAACTATCCCCCCTTCACAGAGGAAAAAAACAAGGCTCAGAGCGCTTAAAAACCCACCCAAGGCCACACAGCCTGCCAGCAGTGTAGCTCTGGTTTGACACACCATGGGACTGCAGACACTGTGCTATTGTACGTGAAGATGCCCAATGAGCGATGAGTGATATCTTTAATTCTACAGTTAACTAATTCCAGGCAATCGTGTTGAGCAAACAGTGGGATAAAGGAGACTGTGCAGTGCTCAGATGCAGTATCTTCTTAGATCCTGGGTGGGCTCTGTTTAGAAAACGCTGTGGGCAATTGGGGTTGAGGGTAGCTGGAGGGTGGGAGCAGTGAGTTCCAGGTCTCCCTGACCAGGACCTCCTGGCTGGAGTTATTGTCTGACCTATGTATCTGTGCTGTCCCATGTAGCTGGGCAGGAAGATCGAGATGGTACTGATGGTGTTTGACTTGGAGGGGTTCGGCCTAAAACACCTGTGGAAGCCAGCTGTAGAGATCTACCAGCAGGTAGGTAGGCAGCTGGCTCGAGGCTAACGGGGAGCCACTCTCCACACCAGCTTCCCATCCATGGAGGAGGAATTGGCCCCCCAGAGGCCCCCAGAGCAGCCAGAGAAGCTGGCCTGGGGTTTCCCCCTCCAAGGAGAAAGAGGAGCACGAACATCACAGAGAACGAAGTACATCTCATGGGGGAAGTGGATGGCCGGGGGCGTGGGGGTTGGCATGGGCTCTGGTCTCAGCAGGATTAGAAGCCACCAAGTCCAGGCATAGAGTGTGCTGGAGTGTGACCTTGACGAGACTTTTCTTGCCACAGTTTTTTGCCATCCTGGAAGCAAATTATCCTGGGACGCTGAAGAATTTAATTGTCATTCGAGGTGAGCCCATAATGGGAATGACTCTTTGGGGAAGGGGGAAGGGGAAGAGGGGGGAACAGTGGACAAATCACCCAGTACAGGGTTTCTCAAGCCATGCTTTGAGAAGGTCAGGTTTTTGTTTTTTGTTTTTTCAGTCAGCCTTTCACAGACCGATACTTTTGGAGTATACAAACTCATGCTCTGGTGCGTGGCAGCAAATATCAAATAAGTTCTGTTTCTAAATGTACACCCTTATTTTCTTTACCTCTCTGGGTGTGGATTGGTGGCAACAGACAGTTCGTGGATCACACTGGTTGACAGACGTGCGCTGAGTGGGCGTGTTCCCTGTCTGTGATGGTTGTAGAGTGAGGGGGCCACCATGTGTGTCCTGGGGTCAGATGATCTGCTTTCCAATCTAGCTAGCTCTGTGATTTTGATCAAGTCTACTTAACCTTACTGAGCCTCAGTTTTCCCAACCCGTAAAATAGGGGTGCAGTGGCACCTCCCTGTAGGGCAGCTGTGAGTTTAAATGAGACACTTTATGGAGGAGTCACACAGAGTCTGGCCCATAGAAAGCACCCAGTAAGTATAAGTAATTCAAGTGGGACGTGAGGTCTAACGCAGATGCCACATCAACTTGTACCCCAGAGAATTCCAAGACAACTTGGGAAAACTGTGAGTGTGGAAAAAAAAAGAGTCACCATTGGGAAATCCACATTATTGGCACCCTCCAACTGGGTAGGGGAGGCACCCATTTATTGAGAGCCAGACACTATGCCAAGTGTTATGCATACATTGGTTAAATTTCTCCATTTTCTAGTTAATAGCACTAAGACTCAGAGAGGGTGAGTAACTAGCTGAAGGTCACACAGCAGGAAATAGCAGAATCTAGATCTATCCAACCCCTGTCCAGCTTATGCTCTTGGCCATGACTATACCTCCAAGTCCTCTAGCCCAGCTTCCCAAAGGAGCTTCATGTGTTTCAGCCCCCAAGCTCTTCCCTGTGGCCTTCAACTTGGTCAAGATGTTCATGAGTGAGGAAACACAAAGGAAGATAGTGATTCTGGGAGGTGAGTGACCTGGTGTCCTGGCTGTACCTGTCTCCGCATCTACCAGAGAAGCAGAGGTCAATGTGAAAGGCCCCATTTCTCCCTGGCTCATCCTCTTTACTCAGGTACTGACTTTGGCCTGGCCCCTGCTGGCCTTTGCACACTCAGGTGATATTTCAGCCCGAGACCCCAGCCTGAGTGGCCATATAAAGCATTTGGGTGTTCTCTGCAGTAGGTGCATAGGGGAGCAAGCCAAGGTCACATCAGGTTTCCTCCCTGGACTTGGCTCCTCTCCCTTCTGTTGAGCATCCCTGATTTCCCCACAGCTCCCCCCCACCACCTTACTCCCACAGGCAACTGGAAGCAGGAGCTGCCAAAGTTCATCAGCCCTGAGCAGCTGCCCATGGAGTTTGGGGGGACCATGACTGATCCTGATGGCAACCCCAAGTGTCTGACCAAGGTACCGGGTGCCCAGAGGGTGAGAAGGGAGGGCTGATGGCTGGGGTCAGTGCTCACTCAGCAGCCCTCACCCACAGATCAACTATGGGGGTGAGGTGCCCAAGAGCTACTACCTGCGCAACCAGGTGAGGATGCAGTATGAGCACAAGATGACCGTGGCCCGAGGCTCCTTCGTGCAGGTGGAGAACGAAATCCTGTTCCCGGGCTGTGTGCTCAGGTAGGGATGGCGGCCACTCCACACCTGGGCCCAGCTGGGAGCGGCCCCGGAGCCTCAGCTGGTGGTCATTAGTAGGGCCCTGTCCCCTGCAGGTGGCAGTTCGCATCACATGGGGCAGACATCGGCTTCGGGGTTTTCCAGAAGACCAAGACGTGTGAGCGGAAGCGGGCAGGGGAGATGGTGGAGGTGCTCCCCATCCGGCGCTACAAAGCCCACCTGGTACCTGAGGACGGGAGCCTCACCTGCCTCAAACCCGGAGTCTGTAAGAGCTGTAGGATTCATTGGAATCTGTTTTCCTCCTTCTGGCAGAGAAATGAGCTGATATCTCTTGCCAGGCTGTCCTGTTTGCCCTCTATTTCTGGCTCTCGGGGAGGGTGTGGGGGTTTGTGTGAGCTCCTAGATCCCGTGGTTGCCCGGGGAATTGGCTTCAGGGTGTTGGATCTGGTGAGTGGCCCCTGGGTGTGGGTACAAAGGCAGAGATGCATTTTGGAAAGTGGGATGCATAGCCCAGAACCATAAACTCAACTCCCGGGAAGCCCTTACACAGCACTCAACAAGCTAAGAGACAGATAAGTAAACAGCCGTGCGCTTAGCTTCCGGGGTCCCAGCCTGCCCAGGAGCATAAGCAGACCCACTGTGGGAGTCCCAAAGAGATGATTCTTCCATGTGCTTATCCTTCATTCTCAGGCCACCCAGGCCAGATGAACATTCCCCAGGAACCGTGCTGACCTCCCGCCTCAATCAGCAACAGAGCTAGGAGAAGGGGAACCCAAGGTTGAGGAGCACAGGTTTTACTAATGCTTTGGTTTAATACATACCTAGTTCACCTTTGTGGAAAGGGAGAATTAGAAGGGTGGAGCCCAAGAAATCTGGATGACTTACCACCTCCCAGAGTTCACTCTGCATCTTGGCGTTGAAGGGAATGCCTTCTTTGAAAGGCGAGACGGAAAAGTGGCTTAAGGAGCTCAGCCCCCTCCTCTGGCGAGAGCAGGGCTCCTCTCTGGGTTGGAGCATCAGGATAAGGGAATCCTAGTCCCTCCCTTCCCTAGCTCGGCACTCATTAGATAGTTCCATCAACCTCTGTAGGCCTCAGCTTCCCCATCCTTAAAATGGGGGTGATAGTACCTTCTGTGGGGCTGCTTTGAGGATTCAGACAGCTGTGAGTGCAGATGTGATGCCTGGTGCATAGAAGGGGTTGGTGCGTGCCGGCTGGTTATTATTATTCCGTTAGTTAGCACAAGGAGATGGTCCTGAGCAGTGGGCTGGGGGCTGGGGGCTGGGTCGTGGCTCACCCTCCAACACCCACAGCCCTGGGCCCATTCTCAAGGGCACCAGGCGTGCAGATGAGTTGGGTTTACTTCGCCTGACGACTTCTCCGTCCTTGCAGATGTACTGCGCTTCGACAACACCTACAGCCTGATACACACCAAGAAGGTCAGCTACACTGTGGAGGTGCTGCTCCCAGACAAGACCTCTGAAGAGAAGATTCAGGGTCTTGAGGCAAGGAGACCGTCCCCAGCGCAATGAAGACCCCTGATACCTCTCAGTCCCTGTGCTCTTCAACCCCTTAGTACCCCCTCCCTGTCCCTTTCCCTCCTGAGCAGCGTGGTGTTTGGAGGAGCCACCCCCCTCCCCGCATCACCATCTCGGCTCTTCGTGGGCTCACCTGGCACGGTGGCAGAGCAGGAAGGGGACATCCAGCTCATAGGCCACCTTGAGGATTCAGACAGGCACCTGATCTCCTGTTTGCAGAGACTGAGAATGGGGACGCTGAGGATGAACCAGTAGCCACTGAGGGAGGGTCCTGCCCACAGAAGCTGCCCTTATGTCACTCCTGATGAGGTCCACCGTCTCAGGACTCACCCACACCTAGTGACCCGGCTTGGGGGCGTGTGCATGAGTCCCAGGCCAGGCAGGGAGCACAGCGTCAAGTCTGAAGAGCAGGGAAGCCCCCATCTCTGCATGTGGGGGCTCGACATGGATAGACAAGGCCAGCTGGAGGCAGCTGGGTGGAGGGATGGGACCAGCCGGGTGGTGGAGCTGAGGGTCTTGGTTCTGGCAGGGCACCAAAGCCTCTTCAGAGTCTCCTTACTGCCTTTGGAGGGAAGATCAGAAATGGAGCGTGAGGCCCAGCGGGGATAACCATCAGGAAAAGCCACGCTCAGCCACACAGAGCTAAATGGGTGAAGACTGAGTCTCTCGGAATTCTCAGTGACCCCCGCCTCCTCCTCACCTGCTGTGATCCAGCTGACATTCAGCTTGGGTTCTTTCTGGCTCTGAGTAAGGACCAGGATTGTAGCAGAGCTGGAGTGAGGTGGAACATGCTGGAATAAGGTAGAACGCACCTGGGTGGGGCTGCCATCCCAGGGTACTCATCCCAGACTTGATTTACTTCTTGGAGAAACATCAAGCTTTTCCTCCGTCTTTGTGTGTCACTAGAGGGACAGCTAATGTCTGCCAGCTCCCTACCAACCCACCCCAAATGCGACTCCGTAGCTGGCCAGTGATGGCTTCCATTTCCCAAAGGCTGGCTCTCCTGGTGCCCTACGCCCACAGTCAGGACCGCAGTCCGCTCTTCTGGACAAACCGCACCCAGCAGAGCAGACCTTGCCCGGAATGAGCCAGTGAAGCTGCTGAGTGGTCAGATGTCCCTGTCAAAGGGGATCCTTGCTGCAAAGGATTAACATCCTGGGCATCGAGACCCTTGCCAGAGACCGGAAGCCTCAGCAAACAGCAACATCCAGGTGCTTTGTGAATAAGAACCCGGTTCTAGCCCCCTTCTTGCTCTCAGATTCTGTGATTTCATTTTCACTATTTAATAGAGTTCCTGATTTTCCAGGGCCTCTTCTTCCCAGGTAAGAAAATGATGAGGCTTGTGAAGGTGGGTCTTCAGGTGAGTTCTGTGAGGTCCTTGGGGCCCCAGGCCCGCCCTCTGTGGCAGCCGCATCACCCACGGTTCAGCACATAGTCTGAACAGGGGGCTCTGCTGCTGTGAAAAGCAAACTAACTAAAGGAAATAAAATACGAAAAGCTGGTGCACTGAGGCATTCCTGGCCCAACAGTGTTTGAGGAGTTTGGCAAGAAAAAAACTTTTGTGCCAGCTCCAAGGAGATAGCCTGGGGCTGTCAGGTGAAAATCACAAGACATCCTTGGGTCCAAGTGCCGCTCCTGCATCCCCGATGCAAGAAGCTTTCCCAGCACCCCCACTGTACTGTGTGGCCACCCTCTGTACAGCCTCCCCAGATGCAGAGACACTTGGGTGTTCCAGAGCCATCTTCCCACTGGGCCAGCGGGGGTTGTAAGGTTTCCCCTGACAGGTTTCCCTGGGCCCACCTGTTGTCCTGACTGGGGGCTCACAATGCCTCCCTTCAACCTCACAACCCCGGCCTAAAAACAAGGTGTTCATGGATTTGAACCCTGATCCTTGCTTTTCCAACCACCCACGCTCATTTTCCACCATCAGCACAGCCTCTGGTTTCCTTGTAGGTAGCAGATTGGCTCACACCATGCCCAAGGGTTTAATTTGCACGGGACTGCCTGGGGAGTAGCAAGTCACAGAGGGGTCGGGTTCAGGGAACCAGTGATGAATCTCGGAGCTGGCAGAGTGCACCTCATATTAAGCAGTGAGTACAGTGGTCACCTTCGGAAGTGAGGACAGGACCTCCTATCTGGCAAGGTGGACAGGGGGCATGTCCTCCACAACTCCATCCCTTACTCAATACCATCACTTCTTTACAGAAAAAAAAAAAAAAAAAAAAAAGTAGCCCAGAGAGGGGCTGGCTCACCTAAAATTTGCTTCTTCCTTCCATTCATTCGTCAATGTTTATTGAGTCTGTCCCCAGTGCCCAGGCACTGCAGGCCCTGGGGACACCGGGGATGCTGGGCTTACCCGACTTTGCGAGCAGGAAGCTTGCCTGTATTGAGGGAGGCCAAAATGACTCTGATGGGCATTCTCAGGTGGGCAGCTTGGTGGGGCAGGAGCCAAATTCTGGGGGAGCATCCAGCAAAAAAAGTCTGATGGGGGATCAGACATGCTTTGCCCGAGGCAGGAACCCCTGAAGGGAGAGCTGAGGGTGTGGGCGAGCCTTCCAGACTGAGGAATGGGGTGAAGGCAACCGTGGGGTGTTTGAAGCCAGAGGAAAGCCAGGAGGGCCCTTGGGTGATGCAGGTAATAGGTCACTGATGTTTGCTATTTCTTGTGAACAACTGAGTACACATTAGGTAGTCGTTAATAAAACCATTTCATAATGGAGGTTACAAAACAGAGACTTATTGTTCTTCAGGAAAGAATGACAAAATCTTGGCAGGAAGCCATGGATCAAAACTCTTGCTCAAAATGAGGTGGTTGGAAATAGGCCTTACCTTTCCAGAGGAATGGGGGCGGGGCCTGTCCTTCCCCAGGGCGTATCTCCTAACTGGAGAGCCCCACAGTCTTCCAGGGCAGGCAGGCGGATAAGCAGGGGGTACCGCTAGGGTTTTTTGAGGGCAGTTGGAAAGGCTCCCTTGCCCCCAAAACTCTACCTCAGTTCAGCTCACGTTCCAAGTCCCCAGGCCAGAAGGGACACCAGTGTGGGACAATCACAGCGGCCCAGAACAAGTCTTCAGCAGGGCTCCAGGCCATGGTCCTCCACAGTTTGTACAGCTCCTTTACATGCATCCCTGAAGCAGACAGGGATTATAGTCAGGAAACGAAGGCTCAGTGAGGGGGAGTGCCTTGGCCAAAGGCTGAGAATCCTGTGGCAGAGTTAGAACCAGCACCTGGGTTAGCTGCCAGGGGTGACCCGGCCCTGTGTTGCAAGGGAGGAGAGGGCCAATGCAGGCAGGTGTGTTCCTGCCAGGGAGGTCCAGCCTGGGCCAGAGGGCACACAGTGGGGCACAGTGGCACTGACCAGAGCCTGAGGAAGCTGCCTCTTTGTGGGTTGGGACAGTGCCAGCTCCGCTCCATGCCTACCGTGTGCCAGGCCCAAGCTGATGCGGGAAGCATCATCCCCTGTTTACTAATGAGGAGGGGGAGGCCTAGGGCAGGAAGTGATTTGTCATGTCTCACAACATAAAGAGGGGAAGGTAAGACGTGAAGTGGGGTTCAGGGGCGCCTGGCTGGCTCAGTTGGTTAAGCATCCGATTCTTGGTTTCAGCTCAGGTCATGACCTCACAGTTCATGAGTTCAAGCCCTGCATTGGGCTCTGCACTGGCAGTGTGGAGCCTGCTTGGGATTCTTTCTCTCTGTGCCTCCCTCACTCGCACTATCTCTCTCAAAATAAATAAACTCAAAGAAAAAAAGACGTGAAATGGTGTTCACCAATCCAGATAGGCCAGGTGCTGAGCACACTGGGTGAGCAGGCTTCACACTTGGTGACCTCAGAGAGCAGGCTTGAGCAGATGGCATTCAGCTAACATTGGCGATCTCTGCTCTTAGCCACCGGGGGGTAGTGTTGAGCCAACTGTGTCTCTTTCCCTGTGGCAGAAGCAAGAACCAGGCCCCTCAGCACCCCGCTCACGAAGGCTGGTTTTACAGGCGGGGTGAGGCAAAATTCACTGGGCCTGAGCTATTTGTGGGCCCATCTGGAGCAGCAGAAAGAGGTGGTCCCACCTTGGTTCAGATCCTGGTTCTGCCACTTGCCTGGCTTTCTTTCTAAACCCCTGCGGGCTCCATCTTCTATCCCGTGCCTGCCACCCTAGTAAGGGCCTCCATCATCTCTTGCTTGGATTATTAGAAAGGAGTCCATGAGTCTCCCTGTGCCCATTCCTACCACCTCCCATGAGAGTCCACAGGACAGCCAGACAAAATCTTTCTGAAATGAAAATCTGATCATCACTTCCTGTATAGGCCCTTCACTGGCTCCTCATTTCTCCCCCAGGGAAAGTTCAGTTTCATTGGTGGCTTATAAGGCTCTCTGTGACCTGGCTATGACACCCTCATTGCAGTTTCACCCAATGACTTGAATTCTATCAACGACTTGAATTCAATCTATCAGACTGGTTTCTGCGTCCCTGCTTTTGCTCATGCTGTTCCCTCAGTCTAGGACTCCCTTCCCAGTCTTGTTCTGTTCACCCTCAAGGTCCTTAGGGCCTTCTTTGCCTATCCAACCCCCCTAGTCTCTAGCAGAGTTAGAGTGTCTTCTGCATGCTCTTGGAGCAACAGGGCCAGTGTTTATCATGCAGTAGAGTCATTATCTGCCTTGTGTCTGTTTCCTATTCCCCACCAGCCACCAGTCCAGGCTACACTCCCCAGATGCTCAATGAAGCCTTGCAAAAACAATAGATAACCATTTACTGAGCACCTATGTAGGCCTGCTGCCCTTGTGCTATCTTGTTTAATCTTCATGGCAGCCTTGTCAAATAAATATAGTCATCTTGGTTATATAGGGGAGGAAAGTAAGTCTCAGAGACAGTTATTTGCTCAGTGATGGCATCAGTACTGGAATTCAGGGGGTGCTTGGGTGGCTCAGTCGGTTAAGCATCGACTTCAGCTCAGGTCATGATCTCACAGTTGTGGGTTCGAGTCTCGTGTTGGGCTCTGTGCTGACAGCTCAGAGCCTGGAGCCTGCTTCAGATTCTACCTATCTCTCCACCCCTCCCCAGTGCACACTCTGTCTCAAAAATAAATAAGCATTAAAAAAAAAAAAAAAGACTGGAATCTAGGATGTTTGACTCCAGAGCAAGGTGTCTCCCTTGCCCATCCACTCCCAGAAGTTGGGTCATACCAGGAGCATTGCCAAAAAGCGGAGCATAACAGCATGACTCAGCACCAGCAAGAGACCCAACGAGAGGGTTGGACAGCCACAGAACAGAGGAGTAGGAACCAGAAAGGAGTGGCTCGGCTAGCTGTGCCCTCGTCCTGGAGTGGATGGTAGGCTGGGTGACCAGCCTGACAATAACTGTAAAAGCCAACATTATTGGGGCACCTGGCTGGCTCAGCTGGAAGATCATAAAACTCTTGATCTTGGGGTGTAGAGATTACTTTAAAAAGTAAATAAACTTTAAAAAAAAATAAAATAAAAGCCAGCACTATTGGTCACTTACTGTGAGCCAGGCAGTGGGTGGTACTGGCTTCTAACCATTTCAGTAGCCCTATAAGAGGGGGATGTTATTTGCCCCAGTTTACAGGTGAGAAAACTGAGACTCAAAATCATACAGTACATTAAAGGTGAAGCCAGGATTCAAACCCAGGCACCCAGGCTATGTTTCAGTACCATCCATTTCTGAACTACTTGGGGATTATTTGCTCAGTGTTGGGAGAGGAATTAAGCTGCTTGGGTGGTTTTTTTGTGGTCACCCCCAGACTCAGCCTCCCCCACAGTACTCTTGGGCACTCCAGGTTTCCCAAGGGTGATAATAAAAACAGAGAGCAGTTTGGCATGAAGAACTCAGAATACTCAATACTCTTATGGTGCCCCCAGGTATTGTGAGAAGGGATATGCCAGCTCCTGCTCTGGAAAGTGTATAAGCTACCCTACTTTGCAGTCTCCTTCACTATCCGCCCCCATGTTCCTATCACCATAGCAACCCATTCCTATGATAAGCAGCATATGAGAGAAGGAAGGAAAGAGATTATGAACTTGACCAGTCCAGTTTTGTCACCAACTCAGAGAGTTCTTTGAGATCTCCTCCAGCGAGAGTTTTGATTCTCCGTGGCTCTTGGCACTCCATGGTGCAGACATCAGAAGCAACTGTACCACCAACATCGTCGTCACCACTGTTATACTTAATTTTATTCTTTGATCAAGAAAGGAAATTAAACAATGAGGAATATGTACCAGAAAAAAAAATTAGAGCTGCCAATTTCAGCCAGGTTGCAGAATACAAGCGTAGTATGCAAAAATCAGTTGTATTTCTACACATTGACAAGGAACATTCAAAAAATGAAATTAAGAGGGGCGCCTGGGTGGCTCAGTCGGTTAAGAGCCCGACTTCAGCTCAGGTCACGATCTCGCGGTCCGCGAGTTCGAGCCCCGCGTCAGGCTCTGGGCTGATGGCTCAGAGCCTGGAGCTTGCTTCCGATTCTGTGTCTCCCTCTCTCTCTGCCCCTCCCCCGTTCATGCTGTGT